TGCATGTTTATATACCATAACCATAGTTCCATGTTCTTAGGTAGGGACCTTAATTTCAATCAATTTTGTTTATGGTAATTAATTAATTAGCTTTCTTCGGCATCGCATTCAACGTTAACACTACGTTTGGTGAGAGAAAAAGAGTAGGGAAGGAAAGAAGATGAAAAAAAAAACTATTTTTTTCTACCATTTCCTTGGATTGATATGGGGAAAATAAAAATATGAAAAGAAAATGAGTAAATTTGCACCTTTCTTTTCTCTTCGAATTAATCCTTTCAAATGTGAAAGGAAAATTTTATTCAACTTAAATTAATAATTTTATTTACAACATTACCTCTAACCTATTTGTTTCTCTATATTTTTCGTTCTTTGTACCAAATACAAAGAAAAATAAATAAAATTTCTTCCTCCCTTTTTGTAAAATTTTTTCTTTTCTCGCTTTTTTCTTTTCCTCTATTTTTCTTCTTTACTACAAAACATAGTGTAAAGATTGGAGATTGTCCTAATTTTGATGTAAGGCTATAGGTAGCCTTCTCAAGAAAGGGATCTTTAATTTTGCAATGCCTTGCATTTAAATGCAGCCCCTTGTATTATCCAAAAGAAATCCAGCCACTATGGTGGTTGGGGCCTTAATGAAATTATCTATAAATACAATGTTTTCATATGTATGTTTATATAAAAATTATACAAAATCAAATAAAAATTTTAAAAACTACTCAAGGATTAAGAAAACAATTTATATATATATATATATATATATGTTTTTTTGAACAAAGGAGGCCAAGGGCAAAGAAAGAAAAATACCAATGGAGGAAAAGGGGCATGGTTTGTGAAGACTCGTATCATACCTATAGAATATTATTCGATTTCACGATTTTATCTCATAAACATATTTTATAAGTTTGAGTTTAAAGTTTTACTTATATATCATAATAAATTCTTAAAAAATCTCAATATGAGATTTAAATGTCACTTGACTTTTCTAAACATCCCTTTCTTTTAGTTCCTTAAGTTTGGGGCAATTGTCATTTAATTATTGTCATATAATTGAGGCCTATTTTCATATCACTGCTAATTTAACAAATTTTCAATGTAGATAAGATTATAAGTTTAAATTTCTTATTGATAGACTAAATTTTCAATAACAAGTAATTTTTTATAGAAATTTATTTAAGTCGAAAGTTTGAAATAGAGCATACATATATCTATTATATGGTTAAATCAAATTTAATTTGACTAACTTATCAATAATTATCATACTAGTTATTTTAATTTGACTAAAGATATCTATTATATCGTTAAATCAAATTTAATTTGACTAACTTATCAATAATTATCATACTAGTAATTTAAAAAAAATAGAGAATAAATAAAAAAACCTGTCATGAACACGAAGACATGAACCCTATTTTAAGTCATGAAATATTCAAAACCCTGGTTCATGCTTGTGCAGTCGACAAGTGTATGTACCAGCTGGCGTTAAGTTGTCCAAACAGCATTGTTGATTCTTGCCCTGTAAAACAAGCCCAAAACCCAAGAAAAAAAGACATATTCGATCAACAGTTTTGACCAATGAGAACTCGACACATTTCCTGATTTACCTGAATGGCTGTCTCCTTGATTGTGACTGCATGCTTTTGTTTTTCCAGTTCAACGTTGGCATATTTCTTCGAAGTTGTAAATTGTAATAACCCCATGTTTGCAACAGTAACTTTAAAAGACGATTCTCTCTCTTTAAAAAAAAAAAAATAGCTTTAATTGTTCGATCAAAAGAAATGGAATCTTGGTGATGACATTATTTTGAATGTTTTTCTTTTTTTTTCTGGTTCTAGCTTTGGCTTCCTTTTTCTTTTGCGATGTTGTGTATTGATTAGAGACATGTTGTGACTCACATTATCAGCTTTGCACCCAAAAGAAAAGGCTGATGCCTTGAATCTTGCTATCTAAATTAATGCAAGTCACCTTTGCTTTGCAGTGTTCAAAGGGCCAAACCTGTTGGGTGGTTTGGAGAAATTTCAGCAGTCAAGGGCCCTGGGAAACCGCCTGATTGGGATGGCTATTTCAGCTTTTTTTTGCTTGGAGACACATTGAATCCAGGCTTGATATTTGGTACACTTGAGAGAATATATGCAAAAACTATATGGTTATTTTGGGATTGCAAAACATTTGAGTAGGATCAGGATGAAAATCTAGGACAAAAAAACTTTTGGTTTGCAATGCATGATCATCACATCTCACAATGTAACTTTGATATTGTTTTCGTATTATTGGATAAAAAGATAGTCCTAAGATTTGGAAACACTGTATGTAGCGAAGCCGATGTTCTTCAATCGATTCTCCTATCTTTTTCCGAGAGTGACCATTAGCTCAATTTTGGCCATAAAATAAGTCAGACAGATGGGTACAATGCATGGCAATTGTTTGCCCCAATCATCAGGCATCAAGCATCTTCGATGTCCTAAACTTGACCTAGCTTTACAAGGTTAGACATTAATGTGATTGTTTAAAGGAAAATCGTTTTGATCGTTATATGTAGAATTTTTCATTAAATTTTATTTTGAGTGGAGGTTGGAATCTTATTATGAAATTTTAACCTGACTTAACTATAATTACAAAATCTTTAACTTATAAGTAAATGATATTTTACTTACAAGATTTATTGGTAGACTTAACGATTCAGGTAGGTATTAGTATTGTGCAAAATATTGAAATTTGTGTATTCATATCATATTTTATATAAAAATTATATATCATAATTCGTGTTGATATGAAAATATGAAATTTATTTTTTTTGTTAAACTCATATATAGTTATTATTAAAATTTTAAGTCACGTCACCTTTGTATTCTATTTTCGTTTCATGTTTGTGTCATGTCATTGTATCATATTTTAAATTATTAGGTTACAATACATTTTCAACCCAAATGCATTAAAATTTTTAAGGAAAAAAAATCATCATGTTATAAAAGTCATCCATACTATACATTCACATTGAATATTACCTGCTACTTGCCTACCAAAATAGATTGAAAGCCTTCAAAATTGCAAAAAAAACAAAAAAAAAAAAAACCTAATTCTTTTAGGGTGAGATGGGAAATAAATTGCACCCATCATTCTCAAATTTAGCTCAAATGTCATTTTTGTTAGGAGAGAAAAGAAATGCTAGTAGCCTCCTCTTAGGTGCTTTAAATTTTGAGAAATTATTATCATTATTTATTTTATTTGTATTTGCTATCTTTATTTTCTTTGTTTGAGCTACTATAGCTTAATGCAGTTTAGGGTTTGTTGGTTTTTTGAATGTATAGCTTGGTCTAGCTTTGGCTTATAGGTTTTTCAATTGTAAGCTGGGTGTTGTGACTATTTACTCCACTTGTGAATTCTATTATTGTATGATTTTATTTTTCTAAGCCAAAATTTATTATATCAACCATAAGATTACAAAGTTAGCAAAAGCTAGTGAATAGAAAGATCAGAATTTCAGTGCAAATCTAAATTAATCAAGAAAGATTATATGAAAAAGCAACCTAACATCAAAAACTAAACCCAAAATCGAACGAAAATTACAAATCCTAACTCCACACATTTCATCAAACAGAAACCAAAAATATGAACAATAGCTAAAATTGTATGATTGTTTGAAAATTTTAGCTTTTATTTTATTTTTTATGAAATTATATATAAATAAAAATTACAATCTAATAAACCATTATTTGATCTATATTAGATAACTTTTATATATATATATAAAAAAATCAAGTTTAACATTCATGTCATAAAAGTTAAAAGTATAGAAAGAAAATCTAGACAAAAACATCACAAAATATTCTATTATGTGACAAAAAAAAAGTGCATTTAGGGTCTGAAATATCTGATTAATAATATTACATACAAATATTATTTATATTTGATACATTATTAATATATAAATTTATATAATATCAATAAATCAAATAATGATAATATTTTAATAAGTAAATATCAATTTTTAAAATAAATACATAAAATTTAACTTTTAAAAAAATTTATTCTTTAATAAAATAGTATAATTTAATTTATTTAATTAATAAAATAATATTTTTTGATTTATTAATAAAATATATAAATATAAATATAAATATAAATATAAATATATATATATATATATATATTAACAACTAATCGCATATAAATTCGAAAATGATATATAAAATGTGGATCTGATTCGACTAAAATAAGCATCCGTGGGCCAACTTTTGTTTTTTTTGTGCCTTTAATTTTTTGTTTCTTTTGTTTGACACGATCTCAATTGGGATTTTAGGACCATGTCAGAAACAATTCCTACTTCTTCACTCAAATTTACTTTCTAACCCCTATTTCCTAAACCCTTCTAATCGATGATAAAATTACTAAACCTAGTAATTCAAGCATATTGATAGGGATATAATTGTCAGATGATTTCCAAACTCGGCCACTGTTCTTATGCTTCCCGTGCTGTTATTTCGACACGTAAAACACTTAAAGTGAGGAATGTTAGATTGAATGATTGATGTTGACGTCACGTTGTCAACTCAAAATAATTGAAAAAAATTATTAAAATTTTTATTTTTGTTAAAATTTTTAATAATATTGCTTTTATATTATTTTTATACGATCTCACCATTATAATTGGCATATGTAATTAAGATTATTGTATCTGTAAATCTGGAAAAGGAAAGAAAAATTCAGGCTAAGAGAGGAGATGAGGAGCTTGACCATAAATGCAAAGAGAAAAATAAAAAAGCAAAGAAATAGAGCAACTGTAGTGGGTGATAGTACGATGGAGTTTTATTCTTTTATCTGAACAAGCTTACAAAAGCAAAACCCTGGATGAAGATAAATGCTAGTGCCCCACTTTCATTTTCCACTCTCTCGATCCTTCTTCTTTCTCTTTTGTATTTGGAGGAACAATGGAAACCTAATAGCTATGTAATGAGAATCACCCTATACTCATAAAAAGAACAACAGCTTCTTGCCCTAAAGGAAGAGGAAAGGGTTTCTGAAAATACCATAGTTTTGTTTTTTTTAAAGACAAAGGAAAGAGAATTATAATATAATTTTTGTTGTTTTTGGTAATGGGGAGAGGAAGAGTGGAGTTGAAGAGGATCGAGAACAAGATAAGTCGACAGGTGACATTTGCAAAGAGAAGGAATGGGTTGCTAAAGAAGGCTTATGAGCTTTCAATTCTTTGTGATGCTGAGGTTGCTCTCATCATTTTCTCTAACCGTGGCAAGCTCTATGAGTTTTGCAGCACTTCTAGGTAATTTTAATGCCTCTTTAGATATATTTATTTCATATTAATGTCAATCAACGCATATATTTTCTTTGTTTCTTTAAAAATTTGGATCTGGGTGATCTTCTTTCTTTGATTTCTTGTTTTCATTTATTTTTTCTTGCGTTGGTATTGTTGATTTTGAGTGATGGGCATGGATATGTTGATTTAGCTGTTGTTGTGTGTTGATTTGAGGTTTTCAGAGATCTATGTCATTGAAAAACTTCCTATTCTGAAACATCATGGGAAAAAAGTGATTCTTTTGTTTCTAGTCAAGAATATAAGTTGCTGGAATGTGTTTGATGTGTCTCTTTTTAATTGGTCCAACAATAGTTTCATATGTGATTTATTTGGCAAGTTTTGTGAACTGCTAAAACAAGATGTTACTATTTCTAAAAACTTTGTTTGATTATCAAAAATAATTATTTTAGGAGATAAATTAGTTTAGTATTTCTTTTTATGTGCCAAGAAAGATATTAAATTTCACAGAACTCAATTACTTGTTTGAAAATAGCATTTCCAGCCATTCCTTGTTTGAAAATGTCCAATGGTTCATACATTTATTTATTAAGATCAAGTCACTGTTAATGTGCCTTGGTTTCTTTTATCTGTTGCAGTGATTTCTTTACTTGCTTTTATGTATATGAATTTTAGTAAAAATTCCTTTTGCCTTTCAAAGAAAAAATTGAAATGATATAAAAAAGATTAACATGGTTGAAATTGTTTTAATTTACTGTTTAGTTGTTTATCTTTAATTACCTACTAAAGTTATGCATTAATTCGGCAAATTGCAGGGCACCATTAATTTCTTTTAAATCAACAGGATTTATAACATGGAAATCTTCAATCATAGTGAATTTTTATTCCCTAATTTCTTTTTTTTTTTAATTTTGAGAAATTTATTCTCTAATTTCTAAAAGCACTGGTATTATTATTAATTTTTTTGGATTTAGTCTGAATATCTTTGAAATATGAAATTCTTTCTTTTCCTAATTAAATGTGATAATCCAGTGCAACTTTCAGGTATTTTTATCCTATCAATTGACATTGCATTTTGTTCTTAGGAATTAAAACTTGGAACATATATATATATATATATATATGTACTTCATGTATGCATAAATGATCTAATTGACAGTATCTTTAACTATACATGACACATTCTCTACAGCCAATACATTGTCTTCTTATGGTTGTGACTGAATTTTTCATAATTCTTTGTCATTTTTACAAGATTCATTTGCATCCCAAAGTTCAACTTTCTTTTAAAAGCTTACTTCAAGTTTTTGCTTTTCCTAGGGCAGCCTCTCAGAGCTCCCTCTCGTAATTTCCCTTTCTCCATTCTTGTTTAATTCACACATGAGAAGGATAAGATGGCTGATATTCTATCCTTAAAGCCTTGCTTTAATCATAATCCATGCCATCTTCAGTGAGAGACAAAAGTTGGGTGTTTCTTCCCCAACTTCCTTTTTTTTTTTCTATCTCTTTTCCCTCTCAATTGTTTTTGCAACATTGACATTACTTGAAAGAGTATATTTTTCAATTGGAAGGGTTCAAAAAATTTTCTTTTTTTTGGACAGTTTTTGCAGCTGATTTACTTGCAAACACCATTCACCTTATACCAGCATGTGGGATTTCAAATCATTTGATGTTACTTTAGAAGCAAGCTAGCATAATAAGATTGATTTTTGCACTAATTGTTGTGATGTGTCCGAACAATTGATGATAGTTAATATACATATAGTTCACTTACTATAAGAACTACTTAAAAAAGATTGTACATCTTTTAATTATGATTGATCAAATTGTTGGTGATAAACATTTTGTCATAGCTCTTAAGGTCTAGATATTGATATTGTAGCTCAACAATGGTTTATTTCTTTGTGGTTGAGGTAGAGTTAGATTTGCTTATTTCATCTCTAGAACAATATATAGTACGAGGTTTGAAATTTTAGGATAATAAATTTGGAACTTAACTCAATTGTTTTATGTCTTTACCTTTAACAGGTGGTATCTAATAAGTTTAAATTTGTATGCTAACACTTACAATCTTTTTCTTTGTTCTTAGATTGGTACATCCTATATCCGTTTTATATATGCATTTCCCCCTAAAAACTTGACAATTAATTATAAATCATGTCATAACATCTAGATCCGGGGATCCATCGTTAGAAATTAACTTAAGGAGTCGTCACCAATCTTTTTTATCTAGGTGTGATTGGCTACCTAAAGAATCTGTCCTTTCAGGGAACACCTAAGTTTAAGGGTCCCTAAAAGAATATGTTTAGGTCTACTAATCAGAACAAGGTTCAGGAGTTCGGTTACGTGTGAGAAAGGTTATAGCACCCTTACAACGCCCATCAAAACATGGTACCAATTTAGTTTTGTGTTATCCAATAAGCCCTAAAATTTTACCAAGTAATTAACTATTAAAAATTATTCTCAATTAACTCTAATACTTTTAGCAAAAAATTGAGAAAATTTTCGCACCTCAAGAATATGTAAGAAAACTACTGTTTCACTTGCGAAGGCTCTATCGTCGGATTATTTAACATTAAAAAATTTAAAAAAATAAAAAAAAAAAAAGAAAAATGATCGCCTTTGTACAAGGAAAAATTGATACTTTCAACTTTTTTCCAAAATATTTTTTCTTGAAATTTTAATTTCGAGAAAAATTGATACTTTTAACTTTTCCTTAAAAAAAACTTTTTTAAAAATTTATTTTTAAAAAAAATTGATACTTTCAACTTTTTTCCAAAATTATTTTTTTGGAAACTTTAATTTCGAGAAAAATTGATACTTTAAACTTTTCCTCAAAATATTTTTTTAGAAAGCTTATTTTCAAGGAAAATTGATATTTTTAATTTTTCCTCAAAAATATTTTTTTGAATTTTATTTAAAGAAAAATAATAATAATAAAAATGAAAATAAAAATAAAGTAAAATAAATAAAAATAGAGAGAAAAAAATATTAAACAAATATAATCTAATCAATAAATATAATAATAAATAAATAAATAAATATACAAAAAATAAAATGAAAAAAAAAACCTGGAAACGGCTTGGCTGACGGCTCGGCTTAAGGAAGAAAAATGGCTCGGAGACGCTGCTCGGCTCGGCTCTGCTCGGGAAATGGGTCGCAGTCGGGTTGAACGCGGGTCGAAAGCGAGTCGACGCTCGGGTCGGATTGGATTTTGACAAAACGTGTGGATCCTCTGGTTTACTTAACGCAGAAACAATATCATTTTGGGGAGTATATAAGGCTGAAGGTCGATTTTTTTAGTAGAAGCCCTTTTCCTCTTCTCTCTTTTCCTTTTTTTTTTCTCCCTTCTCTCTAGAACTCGAAGAACTCTAGTTGAATATTTATTGAATTTTGGAAATTTTCGTCGGAATCTAACTTTTTCACCAGAAGTTCGTCCAAAAGTTGGTCGATTTCTGAAAATTTTATCGAAAACTGGGCAGTTGGCCGAAAAATTCAAACTTGGCCTGAATAGTCACCGAAAAATTCAACCTTTGCTAAAAAATTCAACCAAAATCTGAAAATTTTTCAGAAATTTCCAGAAAAAAAATTCTAAAAAATTCTCCAAAAATTCCTTACCGATTCCTAGAGCTGTTCTAAACGCACGAAAATCCTTTTAGCTTTTAAATCTTTTCTGTGTCTGCTTTTTCTCTCAGCCAGTAACTTTTTTTTGTGTATGTTTTCTTTGATCTGTGGGTCATTTTATAAGAATTGATCAGAAGAGTTTCTGATCAATCTTAACTTCTCCTTGAATTGGGATTCAATCGTTGAATCCAATATAGACTCTGATTGAATCTCCATTCACAATAGGATTCTTCAAGTTTCAACCAAAAAAAGAAAAAAAAATAAAAGGTGTTAATAGATAATTTTAAAAAATAATCAGATAAGTAATAATATTAATAGATAACTAAAAATAAATAATAGATAAATTATAATATATAATAAGATTAATATATATAAATATTAACAAAAAAGAAAGAAAAAGAAACAAAATAGTAATAATAATAAAGATATATATTAATAAATAGTAATAATAAATAAATAAATAATAAATACATAAGATAATCATAAAAGAAAAAAAAAAATATATATATATATATAAAATAAAAAAATAATAATATAAATAAAATAAAAAAATAAAATGGGCTTACCCATTTGGATCAGGCTCAATTGATCCGGGCCTGGACCAAATTGAGTGTCTACAGCTGCCCTTCTTTGCACATTTTCTGTGAAATAGAAATTGCACAAAGACGTAGACACCCAATCAAGACTCAACTCGATATTTTTTTTCATTTTTTTTGTGTTTAAGATATGATCAAAACTCCTCTAAGCAGAGGCTCAACGACTTTGAAAAATATAAACAATGCTCCTCTAATCAGAGGCTCAATGACTTTAAAAATAAATAAAGCTTTTCTAAACAGAGGCTCAACGACTTTTGAAGAGTAAATTGCTCTTCTAATCAGAGGTTCAACAATTTTGAAAAATAAATGGCTCTTCTAATCAGAGGCTCAACAACTTTGAAAAATAAATAAAGCTCTTCTAAACAGAGGCTCAATGACTTTTGAAGAGTAAATGGCTCATTCAATCAGAGGCTCAATAACTTTGAAAAATAAATAAAACTCCTCTAAACAGAGGTTCAACGACTTTTGAAGAGGAAATGGCTCCTCTAATCAGAGGCTCAATAACTTTGAAAAATAAATAAAGCTCCTCTAAACAGAGGCTCAACAACTTTTGAAGAGTAAATAGCTCCTCTAATCAGAGGCTCAATAACTTTGAAAAATAATTGGCTCATTGACAATTATGTCCAAAGGAGTTGAAAATCGTGTTTGAAGGAATTTTAGGAGATTATGCCCAAAGGTCTTATAAATAAACCCTGATACCAAGAGACATCATATTTCAAGGATTAGAAACTTACTTGACAAGCTTTTTTTCAAATTTGAAAATGTCTTCACATCTGTCTTTTCTATGTG